GGCAGCTGCACGATTGCAAGGAACTGACGGAATCCTGTGGCTTTCTGAGGGTGAGTGTAGCCTTGGTTCCCTGCTCCTGGCTCTCCTGGGAAACCAGGTGTTTTCATTACAGGCTCCGCACGTGTGGAGGACCTGAGAAAGAGACATGTCTTGTTTTCTCAGTGACAGGTAGTTCCACCTCTTTTCAGGTCCACTGGATTCCAGTTTGTGCACATCTCAGGTGACATTTTGACATTTTCTTTGTTTTTGTAAAATCTACACTTGTTTTCAACTTGCTATTGGAGGCTTGCGGAAATTGTAAATCAGAAGCCTCCAAAAGCTAGAATCTTACATATAAGATCACGCAAATTAATGACAGATAAATATTCCCAAATGGTCATCAAAACTCCTTAACCATCATGCTGCCTTCATGGGACCATTAGCCAGGTAAATTCCATACAAGTGTGGACAGAAGTGTTTTTTTCTCAACTTAGCAAACCAGAGACAATACTCAGAATACTTATGTTTTCCTATAAAACAGGAATGTATTGAGTTCATGTTTTTACGTGCGTGATAATGGCCATCACTGATGTTGATTACCCAAGCACATTGAAAGGCCTGCTGGTCCTAATTCCACTGTTCTATTTCATGTTCAGGGCTCCTCATCTTTCTATGAGCTTGATTTTCATTTTCACTTGGTGGAGAGTAATTCCTCACGTGTGTGTTTTCTTTTCCTGCAGATTCCAAGCAGGCCAGTGCTCGTCCACGCAACCAAAAAGCGGCCAGGCCCAGACCCTGTTCTTGTTACTCGGCCACCAGTCAAGAGCTCCCTCTGCCGATCAGCGTCTCCCCTCAAAAGACCTGGGCTCGGCTCCTGCTCTAGTGTTGGGCCAAACCAAGGACAGGCTGTGGGTACCCCTGACACCCCCTCAGAGTGCACTCAAGTCCTGTGACCAGGACCCTCTTCTCTCCGTGACGCTGACACACCACAGGCCGGGAACTTGCATTCTTGAAGTTCCCCAGCCTGTCTCTGGGACCCTTGCACTTGGCCAGGTCCTCCACTCCCAGGCACGGGCTGCATGTCCTGATGTGATGTCACAGCACTTCCTACTTCCTGCCACCCACAGCCTGGGCCAAGATTCTAATGTCAGCTTCAGGACATCAGTCAAGAGACCTGCCCAGATCTCCTCCCACAATGGCCAGAATCCCCCCAAGAAACCAAGACTCGGCTCATTCCAGACTCCACAGAAGAACATTCAGAGGCCAGATCTGGGGACTCTGCCAACTCTCCCTCCTCTGCCAAGTGCAGCTGGACTTGGGCCGACAGTGTCACTACAAGCGATCAGGAGAAGTCCATCCCAGGTGTCCAGCACTCACCAGCAGCCCACACACGACAGACCTCTCCCGCATCCTCTCCAGGCCTGCACCGTGTCCCCTCACCCGTCACCCAGCCCTGGTCCTGGGCAGCCCCTCAGAATGGTCTTCAGAAGATTGGACAACAGCTGGTGGAGCTCCCGGTTCGTGACGGTTCCCTCATCCCACCCTCCTGAGATGCCAGCCTCTCCGGTTCAGAGCCCTCCCATCTTAGGGAAGTCTGAGGGACGCTGTCCCCGTGTCGCTGTGAGCGTCTTGTATGAAGACCTTCAGGTTTCCTCCCCCTCTGAGGACAGTGACCGGGAGTGAGGCACCAGGTGGACGGGGACTTGGTGGGGACTGTTGGGCAGAGGAGGGCATAGAGAAGGGAGCGGCTATTTGAGTAAAACAGAACTTTTTCCTCTGAAGCTTGTGCCAATGGTGACACCCAGATAATGCTGGGAACAGACAAAGACTGTTCGAATTGTGCAACGTCCAATGGTGTTTAGAATGAGTCTCTTTAAATGTGGAATACAGAGGGCTAGGGTAAAATCAGTTGCGCAAGAAACTGAGTTATATGCAGGAGTCGTTTGTCAACAGTGATTGACATGGAAAACTGTTCACTTAATTTGTATTTGGTGTCCAAATAATTGAAATCAGGAAAAGCTGAGTAATCTCTATGTACACCCTTCCCTGGGAGGAATGTTTTTGACTCTATGGAGGTGTGTCAATGGAAGCCACTATGGGCACGTTTCTTAGCCTTGTATATTGTGGTATATTGTGGCACTGTAAATATATGCTTTTAAATTGGGTTCAGTGATAATAAAAGTCTCATGTCCATGACATTTTGAATCGTATTTTGACTCCTTAGCAATGCAAATCATTTACGATTATTTCTATTCATTAGTGTTTGTTTAGAATTACGAGGACCATGGGAGGACTGTGGGATTTGCTAGATTCACAAATGCAGGCATAACTCAGCCTCACTCCATCAAATTATATCCATAATGGTACAAGTTCTAGGATGATTACACTCACTCAAACAAAGCTGGTGAGCCCAGTGGAAACCAGGGCTGAGGGCCATTTAGCTGCACACTGTTTTTGATCCTAAACGAAGTGAGAGATCTTTTGGAGACCCAGGGCTCAAATCTATGCAATTATGAATACATTTCTCGAAGGGCCCTGGTAATGTTTATGCTGGTCCCACAGACCCCACTTCTAGTGCCATCAAACTCAGAAGAGCAAGCCCAGCTTACAAGTCCCTCGCGCCCAGCCATCATACCTCTACACTAGTTCCCTTGCTTCCTGGGGAAGATCGCCTTTTGCCTCTCCAAAAGGCCAATTATTTGCCAGTCCTAGTGAATTCCGAGAATAAGAAGCGTCTGAAAGCTGCTTTCGGGAAACAACAGGCATCCATCCCTTCCTTACAGCAAACTTTGCTGTGCCCTGCCCCTCTGTGCTCACATGTTCCTTAGGATATACCATGTGCAAGCAGTGTGCTGGGAACCTGCACGTGTTCTGTGAGCCAATCCTCCTAGGCCTTGGTAGGGAGGAATATCCATCCCACAGGACAAAGGAAGAGGCAGGAATGGGGGGGTAGCCGGAGCAGGAACATGCAGGGGACACTGTCCTGTAGGTGGGAGGATGGCTAGGGCTAGTAATTCTGCTGTGAGGCATCGTGAGCTCTGAGCCCACCTGAGGGTTGCGGGTCCAGGGACTCTTGGTGGCAAAAATCCCCGTTTGCTGCTGCAGACCCTGGACCTAGAGGCATGGGGCTGTGGAAGGAGAGCGCTATGTGCATGTGCAGGGTTGAGCAGAATCTCCTGGGGGACAGTCCTGGCACGGAGTCTGGTTCTGTGAGGGGCAGAGGTGAGGTGGTGTCCTCTTGCATGAGAGGGTGTTGGGTAAATGCTGACTGGAGGGTCGGTTTGCTGCAGCCTCTGCTGTCAAAGTGCGTCACATGCAGGGACCCCCCCCACGCCTCCCCACTGCTTCTCGTCCTCAAACCCACCCTGACGATGGAGACAAGGAGGCATTTACGAGGAGTCGTTGTCTGCCTCCAGGGAGTAGAGCCTTCTGTTCGGAAGAGAAGACACGGGCCGCCTCTACTCGTTCATACCACATTTCTGGAGCAGACGACTTGTCACGTGTTCTGGTCCCGGGCTCACCTTTATAAGGGGGCGTGCGCGGTGGTAAGAACTCGCGTTTCGCTTGGTGGTGTAGCACATGAGACCCGTTCGTTCCTTGCCCGAGAGATCCTTCCTCGAATCTTCGGGGAGCCTCGGTGCCCAAGCGGTTGACGTCCAGGGCTCTGGACAGTCCTAGGGAAGCGGAAATACTCAGCAGAGCATGTTCTGAGCTCTCCACTGGGCAGACCTGTGAGGGTGAGGCACCTGCACCCTAAGGTTGGGTGCACATGGACGATGGGACGGGGGGTGAGTTGGGACGGGTGCCAGTGTGTGCGCATCTGTGCATGTGTGTGCAGAGAGGAGAAGGCGGGTGGCGTGTGAGAAGCGTGTGCCGTGAGCATTGAGTCTGAGCACCTCGTCAGCCAACTGGGCATTGGTCTCCGACATTACCAGTGGGGTAGTTGAGATTCCCTGAAGCGTAATGTCCTCTCTAAGGAGAAGGGGAACATCAAAAGGATAAGAAAATGGAAGTCAGAGGAGGGACCTTCTGCCTCGCCCTGGCATCTTCACGGTGTCATTGACAAACCCAGCCCAGGGACTCCGGCCCAAAAGCTCCATCAGGGACCTGTCCTCCCAGGACTCGGTGTCTCCCTGCCCAGCCTAGACTCCCACACCCATAACGGCCATCGCAGAGAGGTCCTGGCCCCCAGGCCAGGTCGCCTTTCCATCCTACCTGGGAAGAGAGGGGCCACCAGGAGAAGGCTGGCGAAGAGCGGGAGGAGTTGCGGCTTCATGGCTGCAGAGGGCACTGAGAGCTGGGAGGCTGGAGAGACAGGCGGCGGGGTTCCTTTATGAGCAGGGCTGGGCGCGTGTGCCCGGAGTGTGGGAAGACTGCGCTCCAGAATGACTCCTCAGTCTCAGAGAACACATGGAAGTGCTCCCGTCCCACGGCTGGTGGGACAGACACTTGAGCCATGTTTTTCAGGAAGGACATGAAACGCCTGAATGCCTCGGGTGGGTTTGGTGAATAGGCAGAAACGGGAAACAGAAGAACCACAAGCAAAAAGGCGAAAGGCCTGGAGGGGCAGAATAAATAGGTCATTCCCGTAAAATCACCACTTTCCTCAAGTTCCCAGGTGCTTCTCAATAGCCCCTGGCTGTTCATTAGAACAGTGACATAAGGGAAGCTTCCATGGTGTTTCTATCCTGTCTGCTGGACATGGTTTTTTGTTTTTTGAGTTGGAGTCTCACTCTGTCGCCCAGACTGGAGTGCAGTGGCCGCTCCCGGCCACCGCAGCCTCGACCTGCTGGGCTCCGGCGATCCTTCCGCCTCAGCCTTCCAAGTAGCTGGGATTACAGGCATGCGCTACCACGCCCAGCTGATTTTTTGATTTATTGTAGAGATGAGGTCTCGCTGCCCAGGCGGGTCTCGAACCCACGGGCTTGGGCAATCCACTCACCTCAGCCTCCCAAAGGCGACATGTTTGTTTTATTACTAAAAAAAATATAAGACATATCAGATAGGACCTGGTTTTAGCAACTATCATCTCCTGATTGCTTTCTTTTTCTTTTGAGTTGAGGTCTCACTGTCGCCCAGGCTGGAGCGCAGTGGCACAATCATAGCTCAGTCTTGGCTCAAGCTATCCTTCTGCCTCAGCCTCCCGAGTAGCTGGGATGCTAGTGTGCACACCTGGCTAATTCTGTTTTTTGAGTCTTTTGTAGAGATGAAGTCTCACTATGTTACCCAGGCTGGTCTGGAAGTCCTGGGCTTAGGCAATCCTCCCTCCACAGCCTCCCAAAGTGCTGGGATTACAGGGGCGAGCCACTGCACCTGGCCTCTTCTGAAGTTGTACAGATAGTTCAGCCATTCAAAATGTTCATTTCTGTTCTTTCTCCCCCCTACGTCCGTCTCCGTTTCTTTATTCCTTCACGTCTCTTTCGGCTCTTTTGACCCCTCCCCCTTTCTATTTTGTTTGAGGTGCCTTCATTTTTCTCTCCCCTTTCTATTCTTTGCTTTCTCCCGGATGCCTTCTGTTGATGCTACCGGGTCCAGTTAAATTCTGCTTAAAAAGAAAAACACATATTCTGTAATTGGGTCTGGGTTTTCTCAGGTCGTGATAACTAAACAAATGCTCTCCTTCCCCTTCTTCATCTTTTTTTCTTTTTCAACTGAGGATGAGTTTTTATTTGCTGCATGATCTCAGGCATGCGTATAACCCAGGCAGGCTGTTTTGGACTTCACTAAAGTAGCATCGGCTTTGGCTCAAGAGTTTCATAATCATTTGGCCTCATGGTAACATCATTCTGCATCCAATCTCACCTCAGTGGCTTCTGGAAAGCGTCGTACTTATCTCATAGGTCTCATGTGCATGTACATTTTGGTCCAGACCGAGAAAATGTCTTAGGTGACTCGTATAAATGAAAACACACTCTGCCCGGAGAAAGGGGATGGCGGATCGAGAAAGAATCAGCCACCACAGCAGAAGCTTGGGCATCTGGAGAGGCAACAAAATACGTAAGGTTTGGAGGGATGGAAGCGCGTGCACAAAAGCTGTCCCAGTATCACTATGCGGTCATCACTATTTTCTTGGTCTTGGGGCAGAGTATACACTTTGAAGCCTGGAGGAATAGCCGTGGCGACAGTACTTTATTTTATTAAATCTTCCAATTCAAGGGGGGCACCGGGGACCCTGCAGAGATGGCCAGCCGCTGGCCGATGATGAATGTCCCTAATCACTCATTCCCCCGAATTCTGACCGTCGGATGTGGGAGGAACGCAGACAGATGGTCAAGCAAAGAGGTGGAGGGATGCTGTCGTCTCAACTCTGCGTGAAGGTTTCTCTTGTTCTCTCACCTACACCCTCTTTGTACTTTCATGTTCTAGTCCAGTAGCTATTTCTTACAGTTGTGTGTAATAATTTAAGCTTGTAGTTGGGATCTTTTATAAAAGTGATGTAAATTTAGAGTATATAGGCAACTTATTTCTATATATGTGCATCTTTCCTATTAAAAAATACAAAACATAGCCGGGCTTGGTGGCTCAGCCTGTAATCCCACGCCTTTGGGAGGCTGAGGTGAGTGG